AGCAGACTGAATGGTATGAATATTCTAGAGAGGAAAGGGAAATTTATACTATATGCCCGCCTAGCTCAATCGGATAGAGCGTCAGACTCTTAGGTAGGGCATCTGAAGGCTGCGAGTTCGACCCTCGCGGTGGGCTAATGATTTTGTTTTTGCTTTTTCTGCAGTCATTACGCCCGTTCATCGTCTGTTCTGAAATTCAAGCTATTGTCCTTTTTGTATTTATGACCCGACGAGTACCATGACATGTCTTCTTGTGCATTGGCCAATCACTGATAATATACGAGGAGATAGTTGATTAGAGAACGGATTTTACGCAGAAGAGAATTAAACAACGATGAAAACGTACACTTGAGGCTGACAATCTTCGGAGCAATAATATACTACCCAGCATCCACTACAAATATTCATTGGATGATGAACTTTTGAGTTGCTGCAAAGACAAGCGGGAGATTGGCAACATCGTTGATACAACATTTGTTGCCAGAATAATTCAGGGCTAACCACCTGAGGACCAAACCAGGGTTCTGTTTTGTTTAAGAATGAAACCCAAGCTCTGAGCCCATTATTCCAACAAGTCTCTGGTCTACTATCTCGTGCTTGATGGAAGTTGTCAAGCCGATATTGAAGGTCGATAGGCAGAGGGGACGTCGTTGGGCAACGTGGAGATGGTGGGTTTATTGATGGTGAGAACGCGTGAATGTTTTCCCGTGTTTTCTGAGCAACTAAACAAACTTGGGCCTGGAAAAGTGGGTATATTGTCAGATTAACATCTCGGATGTTTGCAGTGTCGTCGTCCTTAGATAGATGAAAGCCTCGGAAAATTTTGTCAGAATGATCTCAATCCTGTCTGCAAGAATATAAATAACAATCCTGTCAAATTATTGGGGTAAGACTGACCAATGCATAGCGGATGACATTGGGCGACAGACAGCAACGTTATACGACTCAAGAGAGCAATGGTTTCCGGTTGCTTGAGAAATTTCTTTGCGACGTGGATGGAATTCATAGTTAAATTTTCCACTATACGTCTTCCATCGTGTACCAAACTTCAGATTTCATCGACAACGGTGGCACTAAGAAGAACTTGTACTCACCCCAAGCTCGTGGTCCCGTCTATAACGGCCAAAAACGCGACAGAGGCTAGATCTTTCGATATTAGTCCAGTACTAAGCAGGTAGCGACAAAGGCATTGCCGGCATGCAATTGTAAAGACTCGCATGAGGTTTCCAATCTGACGATGGGCTTCCTTCTCAAAGTCGTTTGGAAGGTGGGACACGCCGCAAGTCAAAAATCCAAAGAGGTCCAACGCAATCATATCCATTGGGGGTTTGTATGGCACGAAGCGGATAGGGTTTGAGTTTATATAACGAAAATCAGCCAAAAGTCTGTTAACGATTCCAGTTGAAATACTCGGTGAAAAGAATATGTCTTGGAAGAATTTTTGTGCCCTTCCCTCATCTTGTCTGTGTACAAGATCCATCGAGTCGCCTATTGAATTGTACCTGTCATCTACGGCCTCATCTTCCATAAAAAGCCAAAGGAATAACAGAACATGTTCAATATACTCGTCATTGCGATTATCGAGGGTTGAAGTTGAGTAAGTACTAAGGAGCGTCGTAAACTGAGTCAGATTGAATACATCAGAGTGCATTAAGGTAATGAGAGATTACCTGATTTCATGATGTGGGGGTCGGCCTAAGACCAGACACGCTATACGATGTACCACATACAGTAAATGCTTGATCACAGACCACATATCAGAGTCTTCAATCAAGTTTTCCTAGGTTTTCATGTCCAGGAAAGTTAAACCTTCTTTGCTACGTATTTCGCGATAGAGTGCAGGCCACAACTTTACAATAGCAGCGTAAAATTCACAAGCGTACAGCCTAAGCATTTGACTTTGCTCTAGGAGTAGACTTGGATGATCTGACGTGTCTATTGGAATGATGGCCTTGTCCAGGACGTCGACGAGTTGAGAGAATGACTAGAGTGTGTATTCCAAATATTTCTGGTGGTATAAAACGAGAAATAACCGAAGGTTATCAGATATTTGTATCATTCAAAGTAGAAGGAGAGTGAACAGACGAGAACGGAAGCGGGATCACTATTTGATCCTGAATCGACCCGAGGGTCCGGAAATATTTCGGGGTCGCATATAATATCCAGTAGAGCGAGAGGCAGACGATGAACGCAAAGTGCAATCATGTGCTCTTCTGCTATCTCGGTCTTTGTATCTATACCATTTGACAGAGTTTCCATGTAAACCAATCTTCTTGGATCGCGAGTTCGATGTAGAGTGAGTAGCGTATCTATGGCTTCCTTTGGATAGAGTGTAAATAGCTCTGATATAGGCTTGAACTCCATGAATTTCGTTCGAGCCTGGAGGAGGATGGACGGTGGTGTTGAAGAAGGATCATGAGTCCCGGCGTTGCGTGAAACTGAAATGTGACATGTGACACGTCACATTACTTACGCCTGGAGGTTTCTACGAGGCTATTCACCTTCTCTGTAATCCAACTTGGACATAAATATCTCGAATATAGCTGAAATAAGCGCTAGCTGCTCGTCATGTCGGTCTGACCTTCGCCGACGTTGATCTATGTGAGGACCAGATTATAAGTTCATGCTATTTCCATTTGATACAGTCGCAAATTACTGAGTGCGATGAATTGAATTACAGGTTCAATAGAGATGTACGTACATTTTGGCAAACTTTATAGCAGTTATTCCAACATCCTTCACAAAGCATTAAAGGATGTCGGACTTTTGCGTGATAAAAAAGGGAGAGAGAAAGGTTGACAACATCGGCTGTATGGCATTTGAGCAAATGGGTTTGGGCTAACTGTCTCACGAGAGTGAACGTTATCGTCCAAGGCAGCGATCCATTCTTCCAGAAAGTATAGGGACCGTTATCACGGTCTTGAAAGAGAGATTGCTAAGTCAATATTGAAGATCTGAAGACAATTACAATTATCTCAATGGATGTCAATGAAATGTGGTGGGTATAATGTGTGCCTGCACTTGAATCGTACACATCGTCAGCTTCCCCCTTTCTTCTTCATCTTCTTATAAGGTCTCTTCCTTCCGCATGCTCGTGTCCGTCTGAGTTGTAGTAGAAACCAATTACAGCGTATTCTCTCCTCTCGAATATGCGATCAAACATTGAACCAGAGGTATATAAGTCATTTCAGCAGTCTTGAGATGGGTATCTGATGCGGGAGGGATGGTCTGAAAAGAATGATCAGGTAAAGCAGTGCAACCAATGGAGAAAAGTGTTGTGAGCTTACCATAAAACTCTTTGCCATTGCAACATTATATAACAAGTTCTGACAAGAAAGTCGAACAAGATGCCATGCATCTTCGAATCCGTACAAATTGCTTGCGAGATCTTTACATTCTTCTTTCGCTTGTCCTATCGTGGATTGTTTCCGTGTACGGGTGGGAGGTAGGAGAGATTGTGATGCTATGATCATTCAAGGAAAAGGTGTTGAGAACAATAGGCATATCAAATTAATAGAAATGAATATTACCTTCGCTTAATTCGACGTCAACTTCCAATACGAGACCTGAGACTGGATGAGGCATCGATATTGAGTATAGTACGGTGTGGACGCATGCGTGTGAGAGATGAGCTTACAGCAAGATAATCGGATTCTTCCAACTCTCGATAACATTTCCTTGAAGGTGTTGACTATGGCCTTAAGTAAACCATATAACGCCTAGCCACCCAAACGATAACGAAAAGACGCAGGTGGTTAATACGGCCGGTTTTCTGAGAGATCGTTATGACTGCAACTTACATTCCAAATTGACATGCACAATCTGCGCAAAGGAGAGACGGATTAATATGAATACATGAATAGGTATAAACAACCGAAAGAACAAGAGGAGCAAGCACGTACTCTTCGACTCCTGACCAGACATTATACCAGAACCCGCTGCCCTCAGCTTCGTTCCTCAAATACGCAGAAACTTTGATTGGGAAGACTTCCACGTGTTTCCCCAGTTCGTGAAATTTCTCTGCATTCTTTCGTGCTGCTTTCTGGTGTACGGGGATGGTCTAAAACAATGATTCAAGGATTCCGTATGAGTGAGTATTCTTGTGTGAACGAAAATAACGTAGTGAATGTATGGTTAGTCTACCTCAACGAATTTATTAATCATAAATGTCTTCTCTTGAGCCGTCATTCTGGATTTCGATAACGGAATGAGAACGCGAGAGAAATCTATGATAGGAGAGGAGGATGAAGGTGCATCAAATTGTGAGTTCATGAGATTGCATACGAAAACAACCGACAACTTACTGTCCAAGAAACTAGCGCATTGGCTTGCATTGAGCTGAGATTCCCTATACAACTTTCGATGTTTCTAATCCCAAAAACGCGAATGACAATACTTTAGGAAATGAGTCCGATAAGATCACTATGACATACCTTTCTCAATCCATTCCATTCGACACAAAGGTCATGTCCTTCGCCAATCTTTGGCGTACTTTCTAATTGTCCAGACACGGAAACGAATAGGGTCTGAATTTCTTCGTGATCTTTGATTAATTTAGAAAAATTATCTTTCAAGTTGCGTTCGGTTTGAAGTTGGTCATACGATGGTGGTTGTGTGGATGTTGAGGAGGATGAGGAGGAGCTTGAAGTTGGTCGCGGAGCTGGGGTAGGCATGGTGAAGGTGAGAGAGAGCCTCGGGGGCTGTTCATCGGAAGAATGCTACGATTATTTAGATTCAGTTCAACATGCGCTTTACACGTGTATACCAATCATCAACCCGAATTCCAACCAGATACTCGGAGTATGTTCGTGTTCGCGGTAAGAGTTGATTATTCAGAGCTTTTGGAAAGCGCAGTGGAGACTTGAAAAGCTGAAATTCGATTCACTACAAGTATCAGTGAATGGATTGTGATGGAGATCGACACAAATTGCTGAAATCCAACAGATTTCTCGCGACAAATGTGAACGACGCTAGATGGTAAAAAACTACGCTTAATGTATGCCTGCCTAGCTCAATCGGATAGAGCGTCAGACTTTTACGAGCAGTTTGACTGTTTGGAGGCAATCTGAAGGCTGCGGGTTCGACCCCCGCGGTGGGCTATCAGTATTAATTTTTTTTGGTTTTTGTGTCATGAATGTGGTTTTATAGAATCTACATTTCACCCTGAAGACATACCGATTTTTTGACAGGTCAATCCCTCTACTCAATGGGTACTATAAGTAGGTGGGAGTTCCATAGACATCGGTGGTCGTTCTGAGATCATATATTGAATGGAGGCATGTTGAAGTTTCGTCTGAGGACACTCCTTCTTGATATCCTTCTGAGAGAAATATCCATAAACTGGGTCCGGAGATACCTGAGCCCCATCGGCGAAGAAGCCTGGAAGGAAGATGTGATAAACTATCAATGACGTGAGGGTCTTTGAGCGAGTGTCATCTTCAATAAGCATTGCACAAATCTATTCCGAACAGTAACACAGTGTTCAGTGAGTTCCTGCTTTCGAGAAACATAAAAGATTGATGGATTGCAACTTACATTCTCAGCACATTTAGCAGTAATCCTACCGTCATTTAGGGCGATGGTAAATTCCTCGAGGTAGGGAAAGTTATTGAATACGAAAGTAAGGAAGCGGTCCAAAAGGCATGGACCATCTTCCGGATGTGGATTGGTTATAATAATATGGACTTTTAAGAATCTGATTTGAGAGGGCGAGGATACCTTGGATCGTAACAGTTCCAGTCTTTTTGTGATCACTTCCAAGTTTTCGCCATCGATGTAATGAACAGAGCAGATAGAGGGATGCTGCGGCATAAAGTATTGAACCGTAGGATTGGGAAGAGCAATGACTTTCAGTTTCGGAAGAATATCAGAAGGTATCTCCCGGGAAAGTTCCTTGTCGACACGGTTCCCATTGAAGTCTCGATCTCCGTCATTCTGAAAATAACGGCAGTACAAGGAGCCGTTAGATGCGTCAAGACAGGAAAGGTTGGAAAAACGCTTGAGGATTTCGAAAAATCCTGGCATGAAAATCATATCTCCTTCACAATGAAATCTTCTAAGATTGTTTGTCAAACGAAACAAGCAAAGTATGCCGAGCTTTGCAATTCCGGATAGTGAGTTCTTCTGTTGTTTCTGAGTTTATGACTTCCGTCCAAAATTTCTCCATGTTCGCTGATTTTAAGAGAAAGTTGAGAGTGACTGACTTCAGTTTGAATACTGGAGGACTCCGAAGGTTGAAATCAGTGGTGAAAGTCTCGACCTGGTTATCCACATTCGGAATGTTCGTTTCGATGATATCGCAATTGATCAATATGAGGGTTTGGAGTCGAGGAAGATTACGGAGGTATTGAAAATGGGAGCGGGCGAATTTGCACAGAGTAGCTTGAAAAAAATCGACTTGTATCATGGTGGAGAAGAGGAGAGAAATTGGGTGAAAGATCTCGTCCATGAAAGAAACGAAAGCTGTTGCATACGATGAATTTGCGTCATCTGAATCATCCGTTGAAGCGGAATCGATATATATCTGCTTTATAAACAGTGCGTTGCCCGAAGATGAGAGGTATTCCAACCGTTGGACAAGTCTATCCTTGTATGATTGGCGTTGGATATATCGACTCCCAAAATGTTGCATGGTGTTCTCTCCGTAAGAGGAAAGGTTCGTAACATGGAATTCGCGGAAAATCTGTCGCTGAGCCATCGGGAGGAACACCTTGCAAGTAAGGCTCACGGTGTTCCAATCTGTCAGCTTGAGCTGGTCGCTACTAAGAATCTGCAACCACAATTCGGCGGGAACATTGGATGTCATCGTGTGATCTGGATGGATAGGCAGTCAGTACCCAGTGAGCACTTCAAACACTGGAGCGAAGGTACGTACCACCGGGAGGTGGGCCGTCAGAAGAGAATTTCCTGTGTGAGTGTTTGGATCCTTCTGTGCAACAGAATATATAAGTCTTTGAACACCACGTCAGGGTTGATATATTTATAATGTGGAATGAAAAACGTACTGAATCATGAATCGCAGCAAGAAGTAAACGAGAAGTTTGTAAAGGTCCGATAGCACAACTGTTCTGGGTCCATGTTTATCGATATATATCGAAAGTCTCATCATCATCGCCACACGCAATACCCCGCGGTGGAGTTCGACCACGAACAAAATTGTTCCTATCATTGGCCGTAATATCACTGCCTAGACAATCTTGCTACTCTGGTCATCATGGCGTAAACTAGATTTTCAGCAACTGGGACAGAGGGAATAGATATCAATCGTATCTTATATAATCGGGGATTCAAAAAATAATGATACATACAGATAGATTCAGATCAAGAAAGAGAATCATGATCAAACCGCTCAACTCATTGTTAAATTGTCACTATTTCTTCCCAACCGCAGTGTCACCAAATCTCGTCTTGTGTACCCTATCAACACTTCACCTCGTGCTCTTTCGCGGCCACGAGAACGTCGACACTATCCATCTCAAGCTGGCCAGCATTCAGGTCGATCCTGTCAACAGTGAACGGACCTGATGCTGCGCTATGTGAGTCAACCGGAGCACTAGGAATAGAACGTCTACGACTACCGAATCCAATTCGGCTGAACCGAGATCCAGGGTCGGATATTGACAACGGAGGAGCAAAAACGATAACCTGAGTAGTCGCATGCTGGCTCGGATGTCCGTGCTCGAAGGTCCAAAATTAAACGACAAGCAACCACAGGTGACAACATGACACTGAGCGGGATGCAAATTGCCGAGATGGACTGTCCTGGTCTACATCCCACCATCAGAAAATTAATCCTTGTAGAAAGCGATGGATCACATACTGCAGGTAAAATATGCCATTGATCTGATGATGATTTTGGTTAGAACAGAAATGAGGACGGGGAACGTTAACGCACCAATTGTGCTATTAAAAATATAATATAATAGAAGACACCTTCTCGTAAGAAAGTCCGAAGGAGTTTGCTACTATGACCGCAGCTCTGACATCGGATAGCGATGGCCTTTCCAACTGTGGCCAAGGTGATAATTGTGACATACATAAGAGGTGCAATCTGAAATTCATCGGGAAATCGGCATCTAGAATTGAGTGGGATGTGTCCAGCGGCAACTTACACAAAAACCTATCATTCCATTTCTTTTTCAGTTGGCTGAACGCTATATAGAAGGACACTGACCGAGTAAATGGGCCTTGGGATGTTGCTTGGACATAGGGAGACATGGCCCCTTTCAACATTGATTGCAACCTGAGTCAAAAAAGGAGATGAACACAGATGCATAGGCTTACAACTTGGAATTGGAATTGGGAGTCAGGGAACGGGAGGACTAGCAGATTTTCAATGACCCGTTAATACATTGAATGAAACAACACGACTTACTAACTATCTCGGATATAACGACGTATACACGATATGCCACCACACCAACTAGGGCCGCTATCAGCAAAGCAAGCAAATATATGTTGCGACCAAAGAACGTGTATGTCCTGATGAGGAGAATAACTTCAGCGGATACTTGATTGACCATAGCGAGCATGAGTGGAATCTATATGGTGTCTAGATAGCGTATTCATTTGAAAAAATTGGTAAAGCTTCTACCTGGAATATTTTCCTGCACTCGTCAAAAGCGTGGTCCTTGCAAAGTGCCCATAGAAGATATGGGGTGACAGCGATAACCCAATAGCTAGATATTCTGTTAATCAGTTGCTTGTATCGCTCTACACAGGGACTTACCGACAGAAATATAAGAGACCTTGACTGTCGTCCAAGGAGTTTTCCAAATCTACAGCGAAAATGATCATCTCGCGTAGAAACGCATAAATTTGCGAGCTTACTAAACGCAGTTCTTGTGGAAGACACACAGCCCAATCCCATAGAGCGACAGCATCTGTAGATACAGCCAAAAATCAGGTGGGTCGAATGGGATACAATATAATCTCCACGCACAGGTCGCTGTAGGCATAAATAAGCAACAAGTAAAATGTGCCACATATCCACGGACGTACAACAAAAATGAACTTGAGTCCTTAACGATAGCAAATGAGGTTAGCCGGATGTATATGTGACCTTGAAATCCATTAGAGATGGCACATACACAAAGATAAAGTGGTGGACTGTCGCCAGTGAACTAGACATCACGCGACAAGTCTATAATAGAGGTGAAGGAATATGGAAATGTGACGACGACGGGCAAGGTTTATATTTCTGCTGACTTCAGGGATATGTCCTCTGAAAGAGAGGATAATAGCGCAAATTACTGGGACAAGTGCGACCGAAATTTCAGGTTTTTAGACACTTGCCCTGATGATCTCTCCGATGAAGTCCGTGCAAAACATGGATATGGGGAGTCTGCCCGTGCTCTAGTCTCTGTGGCAACTTCGAAGAAGAAGTTTAAAGTCATTTCTTATCCGCATTAGTTCTTCGTCGCTAGACTTTCTGTGACGGTGGTATTGAAAATATCGAGGAACTGGCAGCAGCACTGTAGCAGTGTAAAGATGAGATATAATCGGAGTGCGTTCCAGGCCATTCAGTCCTTCAGAGGATCGTTTACACCAAATTTGTGGATGTGAATTGAGAAAACCAAAATCCTCCTCTGTGATATTCGTACCAGTTGAATTTCAATTGGATTTGCAGAAATAACCAGAAAGACCTATATACCTATGTTATAGAGACAGGTTTATCAAAATTTTAAAAATCGGACTACAATCACAAATCACTAACCTTTTGACCACTCAACTCATTGACAGACATCTTTCAGGGTGCTGGTGTCATCGCACCGATCGCGAGGCTCGCGAGTCAGAAAATTCCTACATCCGTGCGGGAAAGACTCCCACATGCTTTGGAAATATCTGTTTGATCATGATACATGACGGGGTGTGGTCGCGAGTGCGCAGTTGGTGGTTAGTGGTACTAGTAGTCTACGAGTTTGTGGTTCGAAAAGTCGTGAATATCCGAATTGAAACACGTGCTACTGAACGCATTGTTGTCGTAGACGCTGGTACTTCAAGTTACTAGGCTATTCAACTTGACAACAACTTGACCTTGAAATAACAACAGATCCAGGTCATGACCACTGCGAATAGAATAAAAATAAAACAAAAATGA